ATTTCCAGATGACGGAGTTTCACCCTGGAACTAAATATACGCACGAACATTTCCCCATCAAGTCCGACTACGTTCATCGTGTGCTCAACGGCTGGCTGGGCGAGAAGACGGTACTTTGCACATGAAATAATAAATGTTGATATTAGACTTGCACAGCATCTACCACAAGCTCTCCTCCCTCAACAAGGGACACACGCTGTCAAGACAGAATCAAGAAAACCGAAAGCAGGAGAGGGCGTAGGTGGTTGGAGCAACACGAAAACGCAATTATGTACGCCACCACATATCTCACCCATGTTTGACCTGCGCATTCCAAATAATGCTTGTCGTCTCCTTCTCCGACACCTTGTCAGATACCGGCGTCGTCGTTGCGAAAATAAGCTCCTGGGGATACTCTATCCATGCGTAATCCCTGTCCCACGGACTCGTCGATTAGCTTGGACCTCAGTAAAACACCTCTCACAACGCCTGATCGGCAGCAGACCCACTCCAATTCCACTTCTACTTTCTCCAACTACTGCCCTTCTCGGGTCCCTCCACTGGCCTCCCTCGTTTCCAGTGACAGAACAACGTCTAAGTCAGCGGTGCAGTTGCCACGGTGTTCTCCTGACAATTCTCTTACCAGCAGGTTGCCCTGTCCCGCAGCCTCATCAGGGCGCTTTGCTTTTGGTGAAACCTAGGATCTGAAGGAGAACTGTGTGGAAGGATACATACCTATGCACAAAGTTTCTCCAACTTCGACGATACTAGACGAAGAAGTGTCTACAGATGTGGGTATGGCGCTGCTCAGTAAGCTCGGCGGTGGTTCCGTTATCTCCGTGTGCTGGATGACGTTGGGGTCAGTGTCCTCACCGGTGGAGATGCATCTGCATGAGCCATTGCCGTTGAGAAGCTTGGAGGACGTGCTGCTAATATGTTCCAATATGCACTGCCAAATTCTTCCATGGTCGTCAGGAGAAAGTTCGAGATGGAGGGATCTCGCAGGAATTTATAAGCGTTCCTTCTGGAGGGAGTATGCGAGAGGTATGCGTTTTCGTAACGTTGGGCTAACTAATCTGAGCATCATTTATTTGAGCTAAATGATTGGGAAGGGGTTGCCCAAACTGCAAGCTGACATGCTGACTGTGTTGGCTGAATGTGTTCCATTTGTCCGTGGAGCAGTTCCAGTTCAAGAAAAACTAGGACTGCTGGATGTGGCTGCTAATTTCTTTTAATTTGTTTTCTCCCTGATTTTAGAAAAGTGCGCAAGCTACGCTGTGCCCGAAAGCAGCGGGCTCATTGGAGCAAGCACTGTGTGGATGCAGTGTTTGTGCCGGTGGTCCATGAGTACTGCGTCGGTTACGCAACTCGCTTTAGACAGCCAAGACGCTCCAAGAAATGGAGCATCAACTAGGGCTGCTGGATGCGACTGCCTCATATTTTTCATTTGTATTCTTCCTGATTGTAGCAAAGTGGGCAAACTACGGTGTACCCGGAAGCAGCTGGCTCATTGGAGCTTGAAATGTGTGAATGCAATGCTTGTGCTGGTGATCCATGAGGACTGCGTGGGTTTCGTGACCAGTGCTGGGTTGCCGAGGTACACGGTCAAAAGTACGTCAACTAAGCGGCCTTTTATCAACATATTTTGTCGAAAGCATTTGTGTTGAGCATGGCATTTTTTAAATCATGGAAATATAACTGAATCGCCCAAGAGTTTCGAGTATCAGCCCTGTTTTGTTCAATCTCCTATACATATCCCCTTTAATTGTTTTTTTTGCAGACCCGAAGAAACCTGCCGTCGGCGTCACAGGACCGTTTCAAATGGCCGCTACAAGCCTCCCCATAAGGGGAGATAGCATCCAGGGTGAACCACCGGAGCCCCCACGACGTGTAAGTTATATGGTTAGATCGCTTGCCTTGCACTTATTGGAGTGGGCGCGGAAGGCCGCTTTCCTTTGCCTGACCTGTCACGCTTTCGTTTTGGCGTCGATCGACTCTATTGCGGATTGTCCGCTTTCCTCGGTGGTTCCCTTGCCTGCGTTATTCAAAACCAGATTAAACAGTTCGGAGTTCCTCTGTTTTTGTTTTTTGTTCCACCTGCCCCGGGAACCAACAGTCAGACTGCAATGCAAAGTATTCGCCGTTTTAGTTCCTCATGGACGTTTGGTATGGCTCGAGCATACCGGATGCAGCGGAAATTGAGCAATAGACTTTAGCACACGTAGTCCAATGGATGGTAAGTAATGGTTCAGGTGTAAAAGTGACACAGATTATCTGTAAAGTATCAGGAGAGCTGGATATGTGGGGCGATGGGATGCTTTAGAAGCACGCAAGCATCACAAGCAAACAGGCACAGATCAGGACTATTGTTTATAGTTCGAGTTTCTCGACGACTTTTCCGCCCTCATCACTCAAAAATCGACTGAGCTAATTGGAAACGGGCAGGCTATTGCATACTCTTTCTATTTCCTCCCATGCCTCATTCCCAGATTGAAGGATCAGTGTTCATTTTGAAGACAAAAGACTTCACTAGAACTCTGGAGGCTTCTAGATTTTCGCTCCACCTTCATCTTGCAATCATGTTCATGGGTATACTTTTTTACATAACATAGGCGTGTACTTCGAAGAATAAGCCATTTTTGCTTTCTATTAACCTCGGTAGGGCCGAACGTTTTTGTCTGAGGCAGCTAAATTAAATAAAGTATAAATTAAATATAAATTAAATAATAAAATTAATTAATTAAATTAAATAAACTGATAAAAGTAGATGTAAAATGACACCATTACCACTGTTCCTGCACTGTAGAATCCTGGGGATTTCGGTCACCATGGCGTTACGTATAATGGACCGTTATCAAGGTTTCCAATGCCGAACCACAGACTATGATGCTATGTTAGTGAGAAAGGGACCAAGCAACACGAACAATGCGTATACTCGTGGACTGGTAAGGGAACTTAAGCCGCTTGCCTCTATGCCTGAGCATTTTTGTTCTTTCATATGCCTTATTTACAAAAATAATGAGTTAGAAAAAGCTAAAACCCATCTAACTTTTTTAACACACCATCGCGTATTATATAAGCTTGATGTTGAGTGGGGTCTACAACTGAAATGATAACCATCCTACCCGCCACACGATGAACGTTGTGGACGGGCACGGCGGTGCCGGGTCATTAATTAGGCAGACACATTTGCCAACCGTATCTTATGTTCCTTACTCAAAGCGTACGAAACACAAGCACCAAGATTTCGGATCCTTCCCACCGATTGCAGATGTCGCATTTTGTATTTTCACCGTATCATATCTCTTCCTCTATCTCCCTCCCGATCTACACCGGCGATACAACTAGCTCGCGACCCAGTGGTTAGGGCGTAAGACATCTGATTAAATGGTCGTGGGTTCGAACCTCGTTTGGGGCACCATTTGGGATCGGTTATAGCTGGTTGAAGACGATGACTTATGCACCAGAAATGGCCATTTCTGTCTCGCTTGGAATATTATTATCCCTACTACTCTGGTACCCGCTGAGTGGCTGCTAGCGGGGCCCAAATTCTTTGACGGGGGTCTACATGAATTAAAGCATTGAGACGATCCTCGTCGAAGACTGACTTTCATCCGGTGGGCGGAGTATCCATCGAACAACAACTGGCTTCTTTGAAACCGGCAAGCTACTTCTGAGTAGTATTTTTGACAAGTGAATGTTTCCCATAAAAAGCACGACTGTTTCTGGCAGTCCAACTGAAATATAGAAAATATCATTTTTTTTTGGTTGATGTGAAAATTCTTTTTCTTTGAGCCGTAAATT